ATTGTTTCCATTAATTTTGGTTTTCTTCATTCTTCTTTGCTCTGGACAAGGAGAGACCCATCGTTGCATCTAGATGGCAGCTTGCTAGCTTTTAAGATCCTAGTCGCTACTTGCCAAAGTAGGAGGTGGAACAATGTTTTGTATCTTTCCTGTCTTTTTAATGACCTTTTGCTTTCTTCATGGATGATGCTCTTGATGTCATCCCAGAATTCATCTGGTTTTCAGTCATTGGTGTGCAATGAATAAAATCTATTCTTCAGATGGTCTCTAAATTCAGGTGGGATATAATCAAGGTCATATGTTGGCTCTTGTGAACTTGTTTTAATTGTCTTCAGCTTGAATTTAAACTTACATATAAGCAGTTGATGGTCTGTTCCACAGTCAGCTCCTGGCCTTGTTTTGGCTGAAGATATTGAGCTTCTCCACTGAAAGCTTATAGAACAAAAACTCAACAGCCAGTGAATTTCTTTTTTTTATTTGTGATAAATGCATTTTACAGTTGATCTTCTTGGGGTTTTTCATTTATATATTTTAAAAGTAACATATGATGATTAATTTTTCAATAATGTGGGTTAGAAGAAAGAGAAAATATAGAAGTCCCTTTGCTCAGAAATAACTATCATGTAACATTTTGGTTTGATTTTCTTTAGATCCTTTTTCTATTAACTGTATTTTTTTTTCTTATTTATATAATTGTATGTAGGAGCTCTGGTGGTACAGTCCCTAAGACATTTGACTGCTAACCAAAAGGTTGGCAGTTCAAACCCACCAGCCAGTTCTCAGAAGGAAGGTTGGGCAATCTACTTCCATAGTGATACTGCCTTGGAAACCCAAGGAGGGGTCGCTATGAGTTGGATCTGACTTGATGGCAGTGAGTTTGGTTTTGCTTTTTTCTATACAACTCAACAGCAATGAACTACCACCACAACATATTATATATAAAATTTTTGTATCCTACTCTTTTCAAATAATACTATCTCATAACCATTTTCAATATTATTATCGTCTTAAAAAAACTTTCATTTTAGATGGAGGAAATAAAAATAATAAAGTCTTGTTATACACATATACATATTTAATTTTTGAGCTATATAAATATAATTTTATATATGTTGTTGTTGTTGTTGTTATGTGCCATCAAGTCAGCCCTGACTCATAGTGACCCCTCCGACATTTATATTTTTATTATATTATAGAAATATAATAATTATATAAAAATAATGAGGAGTTCTGGTTGTGCAGTGGCTAAAGCATTTGGCTGGTCTATAGTTCAAACTTACCAGCCATTCTGCAGGAGGAGGATGAGATAATCTGCTTCTAAAAAGATTTATAGTCTTGGAAACTCTATGGGGTTGCTATGAGTCAGAATCAACTCAATGCAGTGGGTTTGGTTGTTTTAATAAATATTATGCTTATTAGAAATTTAAAAAAATGGTTTGAATCATTTAAAATTTTGGCATATTACATTAAGTACATAGACCCTTATTTACATCTGCTTACACAATTTACCAGTTAAAGAACTTCTAGTTTAGTTTGACTTTTTTTCTCCCATACATCAATCTGTGCCTTTTAACAACTTGGTTTGTGTACATGAATAATTGCCTGACCTGACCTGATTTGGTCACTAGTTGAAATAATCAGACTTTTATTGCCCATGAGTTTATTTTTATTTTTTTTTAATATTGTTATTGTTGATATTTTAGAGAGCTCTGGTGATGTAGTGCCTAAGGCACTTGACTGCTAACCAGAAGGCTGGCAGTTCAAACCCACCAGACACTCCTTGGAAGGAAGATTGGGCAATCTACTTCCGTAGAAATACTGCCTTGGAAACCCAAGGAGGTGTCTCTATGAGTTGGATCCGACTCGATGGCAGTGAATTTTGTTTTGATTGGTTGAATTTTACAATCATATTTGGAAACTACATCCTCAGTGATTTTTTCCCCCGACATAAGAACCAATTTTCTCTTCTATATCAGAAATCTCACCAAAATACTGGTTTTAGGTATAGGTGTGTTTTGTTCACTTGAGGAAATTTTCCATGGAAAAGAAAATATCCTGAAGTGTGTTCCTTATGTTACTTGTTTCAGTTCAATTTTGGAAACAGAGCATTTCAGACCTTAATGCATTATTGCTGACAATATGTCCATATGGCAAATGCTCCCCTTCTATGGATTGTCATGCAAGCATCACTGTAAATTTCTAATGTATATAGAGTCCTTTGTTTTCCATGGCAGTGAGTTTGGTTTGTTTTTTTATGGCTAACTGGATGCGAGGCTGATAGTTTTGGTTAACTTTGGTCAACTTCAACATGATAACATGCACAAAGAGTAGAGGTGATGGGTTCCAGCAACGTAATACTGCTTTTCCATGAGTTGGTGGAGTGGGCTACCTGGATGTCTGGCCTGTGCCTGGTTTCTCTGCAGGTAACTGCACGCTCAGCCCCTCACTGCTGATGGCCAGACTTGGCCTCCTACATGCCGAGAATTACCACTGAGGACCTCAACTTACCCCACAGCAGCCGCAACACTGGCAGTCACCACAGAGCGTCCCCAGGAGGCCATTGACCACTTGGATGGCACAGAGGACCATCTGGATTGCCCCGACCACCAGCAGGATGGAGAAGAGGGTCAGATGCCAGGGTACTACATCGGCAGGTCCCACGCACTTTTTCCATAAGTCCTGGTCACTGAGGTAATCCCTGTCAGTGACATAAGGGCAAAAGGGAACATTTGTAGAAAAAAAAAAAAAAAAAATCACATTCTAGATTAGATAGTCATCATGCATCATGACAGTTTTTCTTGTGTAATACTTTCCATCCAGAATATGAACCCCATGGAAAAATAACCAGTCACCAGTTGCTGGGGAGCTAGTTCGGACTCACAGTGACCTCATGTGTGTCAGAGTAGAACTGTGCTTCCTCATAAGATTTTCTTTCAGTGGGTAATTTTTCAGAAGTAGGTCACCAGCCCTTTCTTCTTAGGTGTCTCTGAGTAGACTCGAATCTCCAGCTTTTCAGTTAGGAGTTGAGTTCATTAACCATTTGCATCACCCAGAGACTGCTCATGAGAAAATATACCCTGTACAAAGAATTTTAAAAGTAATACCTAATATTTTTATTGAGTACATTCTATGTGCCAGACCTTGTTCTGAACACTTTACACATATTAGCTAATTTGTTCCTCATAGAAACCTTATGGCTCTTTACTGACATTTCACAAATGAGGAAATTGAGGCACAGAGAGAATACGTGACTTACTCCAGACCGCACAGCTGGTAGTGGCAGGACAGTGTTTGTGATCTGAGAGAGATGGATAAATTCACAATCTATGGTGGGGTAAGCAGAAGAATCTCACAACCGTTCACTGTCTCTAGTCCAGCTATTGTCATTAAAGGCCATTTTGACTTTAGACAAATTCCTTGTCAAGTCTAGCAGCCATCTGAAGCCATGGCAAGTACAATCATGCCATGTAGTTAAGGCCTAATTTTAGCCAAATTGTGAATTTGACTCAACTGTATTTTTGTTCATATGTAGGGATTCCACCTGCAAAACTATTGTATTAATTAACTTTAAAAGAAAGAAATGTACCTTATAACAGATAAGGAAAAACATCTGTCTACTGCTATATAAAGGGCATTGTGCCCTGAAGGAGAAATGAGAAGCATGTTATCTTTGAGGAAAAAAACAAGAGCAAAGTGAGTACTATCCTATAGATTAACAAAATTCCTTCTCACATTCTTAGACCTACACACCGGCCTTTCCCTCTTTCTTCCTTTATGCTTCCTCCATCCTTTCAGGCTTTGTTGGGAAACTCTCATCTGGTTACCGAATTAGCACCTATCTTATTATTTTTAGATCTCGGTGATGACCTCTGAGCATCTGATTTCTGATAAATTCTTCATGCATCAGTACATATTTACTTAATTAAATACAGTCTATACTAAGATTTTGAACATTCTCTGAAATGATGGGAGATGCTCTGGGGTTTAACAGAGCATGAAGAATAAAGAAAGGACTGAGCATCTCGCTCTTGAGTTAAAACTAAAGCATTGTTTATTCACCTCTCAATAAGGGAACAGATTCTGGAGCCAGACTAGATCCAAGCCCAGCTCAGCTGTGTGGCCTTGTGGAAAGACACTGCATCCTAACCTATAAAGTGGGAATAATACTATTTGCCTATGTCAAGGGTTATTGTGAGAATTAAGTTAGTTAATAAGAGTAAAATACTTAGTGTCTAGCATATAGTAAGTCCTCAATAAGTGCTAATATTATTATTATTTTACTTAACCTGAACAGTGTACTCTAACCATTAAAGAGTGTACTCAGTTAGAGAGCCTGGTATTTTGGATTCAGATGAACCTGGGTTTGAATCCAAGCACTACTCTTGTTATTAGGTGCCACAGAGTTGGTTCTGACTCATAGTGATCTTATTTACAACAATATGAAACACTGCCCAGCTCACCATCAAACAATGGGCTATGTTTGAGCCCATTGTTGCAGCTACTATATCAATCCAACTCACTGAGGGTCTTCCCCTTTTTTGCTGATCCTCAACCAAGCATGATGTCCTTTTTCAGGGACTGGTTCCTCCTGATAACATGTTCAATGTATGTGAGATGAAGTCTCACCACTCTCCCTTCTAAGGAGCATTCGGGCTGTATTCCTTCCATCACAAGTGTGTTTGTTCTGGAAGTCCATATACATTAAATATTCTTTACCAACACCATAATTCAGAGACACCAGTTCTTCAACCTTCCTTATTCATTGTCTAGCTTTCACATGCATATGAGGAGATTGAAAGTACTATGGCTTGGGTCAGGTGCACCTTAGTCCTCTAGCTGACATCTTTACTTTTAACACTTTGAAGAGGTCTTTTGCAGCAGATTCGTGAATGCAATACATCATTTGATTCCTTGACTGCTGCTTCCCAGGGCATTGATTGTGGATCCAAGTAAAATGAAAGCCTTGACAACTTTTTTCTTTTCTCTGTTTGTCATGATGTTGATTTATTGGTTCAGTTGTATGAAATCCTGTTAGTAGCTGTGTGCTCCTAATACACACTACTGAATCTTCCTTACTATCTGTTTCTTCATCTATAAAATTACCTAAGAGAGTGCCACTTCACTATTGTGAGAGTTTACTGAGATAGTGCACCTTATGCATTACTGCAGGAAAACAGTTGTGATCAAATCAACTAAGATGCCTGGCAACCCATGAATGTCAGAGGTAAACTGTGTTCCACAGGAATCTAATTAGTCAAGGACTAATTTTTCAGAAGTAGATAGCCAGGCCTTTCTTCCTAGGTGCCTCTGGATAGATTTGAATCTCCAAACTTTTGATTAGCTGCTGAGCAAGTTAATCATTGCACTACTTAGAGACTCCGTTATTGCATCAATCTTCTTTTCAGTACTTTTTTTTTTTTTTCAACAGTAAACCAAAAAACCAGACTCACTGCCATGGAGTGCTTTCTGACTCATGGCGACCCCTCCTTGGGTTTCCTGAGACAGTATCTCTACAGTAGTAAATTGCCCAATCTTCCTTCCTAGGAGTGGCTGGTAGGTTTGAACCACCAGGCTTCTGGTTAGCAGTCATATCCCTTAGGCATTATGCCACCAGAACTCCTTAAGAAAGGAATACCAAGAACCAAACTCACTGCCCTGGAGTCAGTTCTGACTCATAGAGACCCCTCCCTGGGTTTCTGCAGTATCTCTACTGAAGTATATTGCCCAATCTTCCATCAGGGGAGTGGCAGGTGGGTTTGAACCACCAGCCCTCTGGTTAGTAGTCAAATGCCTTAGGCACTATGACACAGGAGCTCTCACATTAAGCACCCCATTTTTCTATTCTGCATTTTCCCATGTAGTCCTTTGGATCTTTACAACTTACAAACTAGCTTTTTATAAGAGGATATACAAAGATACAGTTTTTCTCCAAAACCAAACCAAACTCACTGCCATCGTGTTGATTCAGACTCGGTGACCCCCACGGTTTCCAAGGCTGTAAACCTTTAAGCAAGCAGACTGTCTCATCTTTCCTCCGCATAGCAGCTGGTGGGTTGAACTGCTGACCCTCTGGGTAGCAATCAAATGATTAAACCACTACACTCCAGGGCTCCTTTTACAATATTTTCTACGCATACTTTATAAATGAGTCTTCAGATGAAGCAATTGGCTCTCCTGAGTTCTTTCCCTCTTCTGGGGAGTTTGCATACTGGAACAACACCACCACCTGGTGGTGAAGTTGATGAAACACTCACAGGGCAATTTACAGGCAGTGGTAGCATAGTGCCTAAGGCACTTGACTGCTCACCAGAAGGCTGGCGGTTCAAACCCACCAGCCACTCCTCTGAAGGAAGGTTGGGCAATCTACTTCCGTAGTGATACTGCCTCGGAAACCCAAGGAGGGGTCGCTATGAGTCAGGGCTGACTCGACAGCACATAACAACAACAACAACAACAACTCGGGTTAGTGAGGAGATAATGTTCAGTACTGTTGTCTTTAAGAATTTGTTGGTAAGTCAGATCAGGTGCATATGGTTCTTATTTAGCCTTACTTTAATTCAGGAAAAGGAGCTTTGGTGGCGCTGTGGGTAGGGCATTGGCCTGCTAATCAAAAGGTTGGTGGTTCTAATCCACCACCTTCTCTGCAGGAGAAAGATGAAGCAATCGACCTCCGTAGAGGTTTACAGCCTGGAAACCCCGTGGGGATCTCTGAACTGAATCTACTAGATTGTTTTTATGTGCCATAGAGTCGTACCCGACTCATAGTGACCCCTCCTTGGGTTTCAGAGACAGTATCACTACGGAAGTAGATTGCCCAACCTGCCTTCCGAGGAGTGGCTGGTGGGTTTGAACAGCCAGCCTTCTGGTTAGCAGTCAAATGCCTTAGGCACTATGCTACCAGAGCTCCTTGAATCTACTAGATGACAGTGGGTTTTTAGGGCAGGAAAAGGCTCGAATCCTTTTCAATGATTAAAAAGCTGCACATGCAGCAAATGAAGGTGATTGCAATGAAGAATTTGTTGTAAGTAGGGTTGGTTCCATCATTTCAAAGTGAGGGAAAATTTATATAACATTGAAGGGCAAGTAGGAATTGCCTCTAAGTCAGATGCTCACGTAACTGGGGACTGACTGTCTGGTGGTGTAGTGCCTAAGGCATTTGACTGCTAACCGGAAGGCTGGCGGTTAGTGGGGCAATCTACTTCCATAGCGATACCGCCCCCAAGCCCAAGGGGAGGTCGCTGTAAGTCAGATGCTCGAGGGCAGTAAGTTTGTTTTTTTGTGTGTGCCTGGGGAGTATCTTCTCTGGGCCACTCCTCATGCTGCCTCACCCTCACAAAGCACCCCAGATAGCCATTTCCAGGTCCCTCTTCTCTCTCCCTAAACTTTCAGGGGAAGGCATCAGTTCTGAGAGTCTCAGAGATTCCAGCAAAGAAAGGTTGTATTGACCATGCAGTAAGTTGCTGTGTTGAATATGCCAATCCTGAGTTGAGAGGGAGCCATAATTTTTATGGACCTGTTAGCTAATCATAATTCCAGTTTTTCTGAGGAAGGAGAGCTGAGGAAGTTAAAACTCATTTAACTGGCTTTTTGAAGCCTCCAATTATTGTTAAGGGCATTTCCACCTGAGCTGCAGTAATTGTATCAATCAAAAATAAAATAAAGGAGAAAAGAAAGAAAAAGAAAAAAGCCCAAAAAACA